CTTTCTTTAATTACTATGTAAGACCTCGCCACTGTAAATTTGTCTTATCAATAGATGTATATATGTTTTGTCCGTCACATTTCAAGAATAATATTATTGTAAATTCTTGGGGTGTGACAGGTTCCGAGTCCAGCCGGACCTGACCCATACCCAACCCGTTGCCACCCCTACATACGATGAATAGACCCTGGTTGTTCAAACTTAAGAAGTTCACTTTACTTTCTAAATGCTTGTACCCTGAATATTCAGAGGTAGTATAGTTATTTTAAATTAGGTGGCCCCGAGAAAAATTCTAGTTCAAGTTAGTGATGGAACGATATTGTTATTTTGGTTGAATCAAGTGATAGTTGATAAGGTATCTGAATAATGCCAAATTAGTTGCTTTGACCACGCTTTACAAAAAATAAAATAAATCGATCGTTTCATTTTTGGAAGTTTGACCTTGAATTTATATTTTCCCCTAAACTGTATTTCGACTAACAATGCCTAAAGCCAAACAAAAGCTCCTCAATTACGACTGCTAAATAGCCAGCGGTTTTGGTATTGACCAAAACTACAAGTGGAGCATTAGGAGACAAGGAACTAATTACACTAGTGCCTCTACCATGCTCTCGTATGCATACTATACACTTAACTCCCTCGAGCAAAAGAGCTGTTTTGAGGATTTTTGACTTGAGATTTTGAGATCCATCTAAAAAATCACAAGATGATTCTTCTTTTTTTAGAAAGAATAGGATTTTCAGTTTCAACATTTAGATCTTGCCCTCCAACAATTGGACAATCCATGTTCAATCTTCAATCTTGGACGTTATTTTCTCAAGCACATGGAGCGTGCAATTCCAATTGCCTTTTTTGAAGGATTGGTACTTGGTTCAAGAGATACATCAGCAAATGAATTTCCTGAAAATAAACCTAGGTTGGATTTTACCATAGGGAGCAGTATTTCAAAACTCAACTAGGAGGGGTGGATCATTCACCCACACATTTGTAGCTGATTGTTGGATCCACGATTCAAATCGAGTATGCCTTGGCCAATCCAAAAACGTTTTAAAAATAATTAAAATAAAAATAAAAATAAGATTTTATAGGACATACATGACATTTAAAAAACTATTAAATAAGCTTAAAAAGAAAAATAATATATGAGAAGGGATTTTACAAGAGAACTGGGCGAGAGCCATACTATCCTATAATCAATTCCAATCCCTATCAATTTCCATCCAGATGGGCGATCGGGATCGAAAATCTACAGAGTAAATAAGTGTATTCTCCCTAAGGTGCATGAATCTTTTCACATGGAACATTTCTCCCTGCATGTTCCAAAAGCACCCAAAGTGTGGAATCTCTCGATAATGTAATCTCACACGCCAAAGTAGTCCGTCAGTTACGCAGCAAGGCAAGGGTGTTCCTTTTACATGTTCCATAATATTCCAATGATAATAAGTGTATTATGTTCCCTCGGGAGCATAATTTGCTTTTACTCGGTCTGTGACCTATTTGAGGATTTTTTTTAATCTGAAATTTTGGAAATGGAAAAAGTTTATATAAAGTTGCAACCTCATAATGTAGAGCTACGGATGCACCTGAAAAATCCATCGGAGAAGGTAGTTTTAATGTTGAAAAACCATGTGATTGATCATCTTTATATTGAGATGTATGACAATAAAAAATAAAAGATTTTAATTCTCAAAAATAGTGCATTTTATAACATATTACCTAGACCGTCTATTTTCAAGATTTTCATATGTTTATAGATCTACTTGATTTTAACCATTTTTGAAATTTAAAATTTTATAATTAGATATAAAAATAGATTTTGAGATAATCCTAAAAACATTTTACATTAAAATTATATACCATGATAAAATGTGAAGGCACACCTTACCTCTACAGCTACGGATGCATTGGTATGCCAACTGGAAATTACCTTAGAATCACTAGATGATTATTTCTCCAAAAAAAGAAAAAAAAAAGGTTTTCAATTTGAGTTTCTAACACTTATAACTCACCTTCTTAAAATTTGGATAGTTTCCATTCAATCTTGAGACATTTGTTTTTTAAGCGCTTAAAAGATACAATTACAACAAAATTTATTGAGGGTAATATATGTGTTAAAATGGTTATATGCTCAAAATGTGGGGTCCTAAAACTGATTCTAGAAGGGTTTTATGCGAGGGAGTAAATACACAGTGATTTCAGAGCGAGTAGAGTATACTTTTCTAGAAAGAGGAGGTCTTGCGGGTTCTTCACGCAAGAATAACACTTTGTTGCGTTTTTAGAGAGGAAGTACACAAGAATAAAAGTATGTTGCGTTTAGAAAGAGAGAGTAGTCATTTGTGATAGGAATGACTTTTTCCTGTTTTATTAATTTTTTTTAGGGGAGAAGTACGTGAGTCCGCGAGAAAGAGTCACGTTAACATTGGAGGGAAAATAAATAAAAATTATCTCTCTTAGCCAGGAAATCGCAATGAGATGTTGAACTCATTTTGAACCCACACATATAATATTTACCTATTAAAAGTGATTGTAACTATCTTGTTCCAATGATAAACAGTTTTTTCCGGCTCTGACCCTACAGTGAAACAGTGGGGAGTGGTACATCCCCTTTAAATCATAGTATAGTGATCTGCCCAAAAAATAGTATAAGACCATCAAATGCCAGCTTCTATACCGATTTCAAAAGATACTGTAAAAAAAACATCCCTCTTCTTTTCAAGCTTTATATGCACATTGTGGCAGAGTACATGAACAGAGTCCAAACTGCAAGATCCAGAGTCTAGAAAGAGAATACCGATCCACAATGGTTTCTCTCTCATCGACTTTCTCTCTCCTCCTGTTCCTTCTCACAGTTCTTCTCTCACTAAATCTGCCATTCTCAGGTAAAACCACTGCCTTGTTTTATTCATTTTTCCTTTTTATTTTCTAGACCAAACTGAGAGATTCATATATGAAATGAATAATGAAAAATATCCAATATAAATAACAAATTAAGAATTATCATTTCTTAGGTCTTCGATTTGTGTATTTTTTTTCTGTGATTGAAATTGTTTACTGAGTGAAACAACGATGTTTTGCAGAATTCTGGATCCAAGAGAAATAAAAATTAAAGAAAGATCCTCCTAGATTAGCATTTTGCCTGCAGGAGTAAGGGTACAATGTAGTCCTGCTAGATTGCAATGGGCGCTCTGTTAAGTTGCATTTTTTTTTTTTTAAGCGCAAGAGAAAATCACTTCAAATTGGTAATGAATCTAGATTTTGCCAAAAAAAAAAATCTTATTTTACTTGAACAATTTTCACTCTTCCATTGCTCTCATTTTTGTTTCCCCTTTTCATTCCCTTCTTTTATATCTATACTCAGTACATCCATGATTGGATCACATTACAAAAACATTTTTCAGGCCTTTTCCTCATTATAATGAAAATTCATTCATTGAATCAGTAAGCGATTGAATCAGATTCAATTACATAATATTTCGAACGATACACCACCACTACCATAACTTTCTCAAAGCAAACAAACTGCATCCAAGAAAAAAAACAACCCAATAATCCCAACAAAACATGAGAACATTAGAGACGATTTTTTTTTTTTTTAACCTTCAATTGAATCTATTAATTATTTGTGTAGATTTTGATTAGTAGTTTTGGAAACGGTTTTCGTGATTATGAAGGTGCAGATGGTGAAGATGTGAAGGAATGGTGTATTGCTGATTCTCAATTCCCAAATGAGCAGCTGCAGGCGGCCATGGACTGGGCCTGCGGTCCAGGTGGGGCAGACTGCACCAAGATCCAGCCAGGTGGCGAATGCTATAAACCAAATACGGTTCTGGATCATGCTTCCTTTGCATTCAACAGCTATTGGCAAAAGTTCAAGAACCAGGGCGCCTCTTGCTACTTCAATGCAGCTGCCTTCATCTCTGAAGAGGACCCAAGTAAATATAAAACACCTCTCTCTCTCTTTCTCCAAGAAAAAGAGAGAGAAAGAGAGGGACTCTCTCTTGTGATCTAACATGATCAAACATTAATCTACATTTGACCTATACTTTTTCTGTTAATATTACCCGACTATTATAAAATCTAAAAATAATATAAAAAACTTGTCATGAGACTATTTATCTCGAGGTCACAATTATCCTAAGCCATTAAATGTTGAATTCGATGGATTTCGTTGCATCATGAAGTTCAAGATTTTTTTTTTTTTAATCTCACTCTAGTCAATGACACACACAACTACGTAATTTGAAATTTGATGGAGAAGAGTCGTTGCGATCTCCTTGTACTAAAAGTAAATGGTTTCTTTGTATGTTTTCTTTATAGGGTGTTGTTTGTATAGAACCGAGGCTTTAAACATTCAAAGTAAAGCACACCATCAAATAGTGTCGAGAAATGTGGTTTCAATACTGGATTTGTGATGACATTAAGATATATTTTTATCTTTAATTATAAAATTTAAAGCTTAAAAAATAGTGTAGATCAAGCCATATATATGAAAACTTTAAAATCTTGAAAATTGACGGTCCAAAAATGCATTACAAGATGCACTATTTCCAAAACTTGAAATCTATCTTTTTCTCATGTCCATGCATCTTGAGATTGAGATGATCAATTTGAAGATATTTGGACATCAAAATATCCCCTTTTAAAGAAATTTTTGAGGTGTGCCCTAATTTGATTGTCTAGAGCCTCTCGCTTATATAAATGATTCCTTTTGTTATATCGTATGTCCCAACACTTCTACAACTATAAAACAACCCTGTGATTTTCAAGCTAATGATGTTCATACTTTTCCCTTATTTTGATCTTAAAAACATTGGACACCATACTTGTCCCTTGATTTTGATCTTAGAAAGTTTGGATGCTATTATATTCTTTTTAATTTTTGCCTATGTTGTGATCAAAGTTTGGTGCCAATTTATGTATTGATCCAAAATAATAATGTGTCATGTTTTGGGATATCTTACAGTAGAGGTCTCAAATTTTGAAATTTTTTTTCTCATTTTACCCCGTTATAAGGTTCAAATCTCAAGCAGCTAACTAAGTGTGTCAGTGGTTCGAAATTTAAAATTTGAACCATCCTTTATCTAAGTGTGTCAGTGGTTCGAAATTGAAATTTTGAACCATCCTTTATTATGGGCAAATTCAAGAATTTCTCAACACGGGGTATGCAAGGCAGGTCAAAAGATCAACCTTTGAAGCACCCTACAATTAGGGAGGTTCGAAATTTGGATCTCCAACAGCTCTTGTCACAAAGAAAATTTACATTCGCACTATTTTTAATCCAAAAAGATAAAAAAGCCCCAAAAGTTTTGGATCTCACCATAAAATGTCCAAAAATATGGACCACTTTTTAATTGCATGAAATTCGTACATAATTTTCCCGAAGTTCAGCATTCTATTCAGGTGTCTTTTAATTCAATTTTTACCTCTTGAAACTTTGATCACTACTATTTGGATTAGTATACAATGAGATCATTTATCTTCCATTCAAGATGGTCGCACTTAATCCTTTTGGTAATTACTATTTTCTTGATACAGTGATGGACAGAAAGCCTCAGTTACTTGCAAAAGAATCCTTCCCACTTTTTCCTTTTCCTGGAAATTTTCGGATAGCATTATGATTCAGGATGCTAACAAAGTGATACATTGTCTTCGATTTTCAGGTCATCAATCCTGTAAATTTGAATATCTTCCGTGATGATCCAGTCAAATTCCATCTTCTGATGTTTTTCTCTTCCAAAGGCGTTGATCAATCTGTCTCAATTGTACCAAATAAATATTGAGGTTATATTTTGAAACATATATAGAATGGGAGGAACAAAAAATTATCCTTCTGAATCCATTTTTATTAATACATTTTTCTACCTGATATCTATTTTTTTCCTGTCAATATCTTTTTCCATTTTTCCTTGCGCGAAATGGATCCTTTTAAGCTCTGTGCGTGCTCTCTAAGGCTTCATATTGACCATAAAAGTAGTGAGAGAGAGAGGCATGCATGTTCAGTAGTGAGACAAAAAGCAACCATACTCATCATTTAAACGGGAATTTTGCATTAGTGTTAGAATTAAAATTGATTAACCGGTGATTCAAACCATAGTTACCAAGAGCGGGAACGGCTCCGGTTCAGGGACAGGGAGTGTCGGAGCTACGTCTACCCAAAGCTCCGGAGCTCAGAGAGCGTGTTCCGGTGAGGGTAAAAGTAACATATCGAGATCTCTTATGAACAAGGAGCGTGCTCCCAATACATCGGGATCGATATCCCTATTTAACGGGAACGCTTTCCATGTCAAATGGGATCATGTTCTCATATTCATTAGATCGTGCTCTCATCAACAACAGAATCGCAACTCCATCTAAGAATGACCGCATTCCTATTGGGAAAGGATCGCGCTCCATTCAAGGAATGATCGCGTTCTATGCATGATTAGTCCATGCTCCCATCGCAGAACTCTACTTTTATGAAAATTTGGCTTAGAATATAATTGTTTTATTTTAAAAGTTATTTTTTTTTTAAGAAGCTTATTTTAGGATGTTTTGGGAAAATAGGGATGGAGTTCCGGATATGTGGGGATCACGGTCCTAAAATTTTGGGAGTGGGAATCTAATTTATTCAGGAACGAGATCCTAAAATTTAAGGAACACGTACTGTGCAGTATCGGGAGCGAGCTCTTTTGTGAATAGGATTGAGAATTCTAAAAATTGGAACGAAATCCCAAAAAAATGAGAACAGGTTCCGAATGAGATCCCGACTCCAAAATGCCGGAGCGAGAGCACCACCCTAGGGTGGCGCTCCCGGTAACTATGATTCAAACCAACTTAAACAGTGTTTATTATGTCTAAATGCGTCTCCAAAAAACTGATAAGTTGTGTGTGCAGCTAATGCAGGAGATTAACTGCAACCGTCTTTCTATTTATCAACGACTTGGGGCAGGTTTTCAAAATATTTAATATAATTCACTTGGCAGTTTTCACCAGTGTGATGGGACTTCGCCGTCTCAAACTTGGCCGAATTACCTAGCCTCGCGGAGTACCCTCGAGTTGTAGATGTAAAAACTTGAAAAGAATATAAAAAAATTTGGAAATGAAATATACTTTTTTTTTACATGATTTAGATGTATTTAGAAAATATAGGTGAGTATTTCTTACCATACTTATTATTTTTATATATGTTTGAAATTTTTTTTTAAATGTTCTAAACTATAAATCAGTTGTTTTTTTTCATCTTTTCTCCACTTTTTTTAGCTTCTTTTAACTTTTTGAAGTTATTTTTGTTTCTTTTTCCTTTTTTTTATATTTTTCTACTCTCTATTTTTTCTTCATCTTTAAGGGTGAGTCCTTGGTGAAGCACGTCCTTGATGCTCACTTGAACGACAGTAGAGAAACCGTGATTTTAGTGCCGATAAAAACCCCAATGTCTTGGATCAGAGTCTTCGGATTTTTTTGCATCAGAAAGCCAAACCTCTACCTCTGCAATATTGGCCGCCATTATCTACCAATCCAAGATTTCCTTTCGGGAGATTTCTCTCTCCCACTGCCGAACAATCTTAAGAACGCTGGTAACGACCTAAACCCGGCCACGCGTGGCCCGCCCCAGGTGCTTAAAAAGATGCCCTAGCAAAAGCCTCGCCTGGCCTCACATACCCAAAGGAAAAAAATGAAAAACAAAAATAATAAGGGAACAAAATGGTCGGGTCAGGCTCAGCCCTGGAGCACAATTGCTCCAATCACAATGCCACATCTCCACACTATTTTATTTTTAATTTTTTTTATATAAATTATTTTCGGATCAAATTTTGGGCATCCAATCATCTATTAAACACAAACTTCTAAAAAATATTAAAAAAACCTTCCCAATAAAATAAAACGATTAAAATACCTTTGAAAGATTTGTGGGGTATTTTGTTCATTATATTTTATCGAAAAAATATTTTTAATATTTTTTGTAGATGCATCTCAATGAGAAGATGACACATATCAAATTTCATATTCATACAATTTATATAAAAAACATTAAAAATAAAATACTCTGAGGCGTCGGATCTAAGATCAAGCGGTGAGTGACCCTAATGATCAAAATTAGATGGCTGGATGGTAGGCCAAATATAAATCTTCTATGTTGTAGGGGAAATATAGAAATCTTTTCCTTCTCTCCCTATGAACCGGTTTCTATATCTTCATATAGAATGAGCTCATATTTTTGTCGAGCGTGTACACTCCCGGTCAAATACATGGGAGAACTTTTTTTAATGTGAAATTTTGGAAGTCACTTGAGAACTACGGGCTTCAAAACAAAAAATTTGAATTTTGAAATTTTCTAATAATTAGATTTCACTTTCTAAAAATTGGACAATTTGCGTTCAATCTTGCGTGATTATTTCTTTCAAGTGCATAGGTAGTACGGGTAGGAAAAAAATTTTGTGGATATCAGCCGTGGCTTGTCAATATTTGGGTTGTAAAGTTAATCTTAGATTTGGGTACAAGAGGGAATAAATAGACAGTATACTTCCCCAGGAGTATTAAATATTTTAAAAAGAGCAAAGGGTCTAAACAGTCAAATTAGAGCCTACCTCAAAACTTTCTTTAAAAGAGGTTGTTTTGAGGCCCAAATTTACTCAAACTGATCATCTCCACATCATGATGCATGGACATGAGAAAAAAATGAAATTCATTTTTTAAAAATAGTGTAACTTGTAACACATTTTTGGACCGTCAATTTTCAAGTTTTCATATATCTACTCGTTCTACACTAGTTTTTAAGTTTTAAATTTTATAATAAAAGATGAAAATATATTTTAAGGTTATCACACAGAGTTTCAATATTGAAACCATATTTTTCGATGTTATTTAAAGGTCGGTTCTAATTTGATTGTTTAGAGCCTGGGCTCTATACAAACCGCACCCAAATGTAAATTCAAGAATACACTCATATTAGGTATACCTAAGTAGCTCTTAGAGAATTAGTAAAATAAAATTGTATTAAAATGATTTCATTATAAGGAAGGATACATCTAACACGATTGTGGAGAAATGCCGGTAAAAATATAGCGAGAAATGAAGGTAAAAAATATAGCACGTGAACAAAAAACTATGAGATGTGCATGTGTCAAAGATATTATAACCCCACGAGATAATACTATGCATTTACTCCCTCAGGTAAAATCATAGTTACTAAGTCCCCGATTAAAACATAATTTTTTCAAAAAATCTCCGATTTTTGAAATCCATTAAGAACTCCGAGTTTTTCAAATGTTCTTCAAAGAGCCGTACTCTCGTAATGGAATCAATATAAATCCATATTTTATATTTTTCAAAAAAAACTTTTCAAAACTCTTCTTTCATATAACATTATTGAAACTTTTTTCTCTTCATTGATTTAATATCTTCGAATTTAGGAGTAGAGTTATACATATTAAAAGTGGGACTAATTTAAGAATATTAATTTTTTCAAAAAAAAATCATCAAAAGTTTTTTTAGGAAAATCTATTAAAAATATGAGCAATATATTCCCAAATAAATAATCTATCAGCCGTAAATCTTAAAATAATAGCTAGAGTTCGATGAAGAGTAACCCAATGAAACATGTTCTTTTTCTCTAAACCCAGAGTATGAATAGGAAGAGCAAGAGATATCAGTCACAACTAAAAATTTAGGTTGCTAGAAATTTAGAGTAATATTCAAATATTTAGCTTTGCTTAAGTATTTTATTGCTTTCTTTCTACTTACAGAAGTTTGAGTAATTCCACCTTTTCGAAAAAATATTTTGTTATACCATTGGTGTAATTGAAGCATTTTGGATGGACCTCTATTTTACATTTATGGATTTTTGGTATTTTAATTAATTGCAATCCTACACTAAGGGTTTTTTTATGGTATTTTGTTCTAACAATTCTATACATTGGATTACGGTTCTTGTTATTTGCTAATGTAGTTCTTGTGTTCTTGTTTCGTTATAGGCTCCCAATAAATCTATCATATATTTTGTGCCGTGACAATTATTGAAAAAAATTACAAAAAATTGTCAAGTATTACCTTGGAGATAAACTTATTGTTCAATAATTTTAATGCATTCATAGAATAACTGCAAATCGTAATCTCATCCTATGTCATCTTTACATATCTAATTTTCTCATTCCATCTTGTTTAGTCTAATTCGAAATATTCAGTCTAATTCGAAATATTCACGATAATTTAACTTACCTCATTTTTGGCGATCCGTATGTTTGACCTGATTTTTTGCCTTTGACTTTCTGAAACAAAATCAATTTTTACCGATATTTTGGTTTGTTGAAATATTGTTAAATGCCGATTTTCTAACTATGGCTAAAACCCATTTGGGATTTAATTTTATGACCCTTAATTTAATTTTGGGGTGTAACCTCTTTAACCCGTAAGTTGACCTCAAGAAAGAAAATCATAATCTCATCCTCTATGTCCTTTAAAAAAATAATGTCTCCAGAATAAATAGAAACTGTCTAACTTTTAGAGGGTAAGATCTAAGTGTTAGAAAAAGTTTTTCGTTTGAGAATAATAATCTAGTGATTAGGGGGTTCTAGAATTTCAAATTTAAAAAATCCCCACAAGTAGTTCTTTTCACCGATGGAGTAGAGAGGACGAAGGAGGCCTCCTTCAAAAGGGGAGGGGTGGGAACAGTGACTCACACCGCTAGGTAGCCTTCTCATTGAACTTTAGAAGCTATGCATACATCAAAGCCTGTACCCTAGAGGGCTTTGCTTTGCAGTGTCAAAAGCAATTAGAATTAATATGTTATAAAGCAATTAGAATTAATATGTTATACATGCTCATCTTTCCAATAAGCCAAACAAGATAAATGTATC